GTAACATAAATTTTATTCCATTTTACAATAGGATTAAAAGAATGAGGTCTGGGAAGCGCAGTTAACCCGATTATATACCTCAAGATAGCCACGCCTCCGCATAACTTGATGCACACAGTCTTTTGTCCTGGCTCGGAGACGCAACATCGCTGCGAATGGGTCCAGTCTGTGACGAAATGGTAGCGCCTGATGCGACCTCAGCAGGCCGAGCCCAGGTAGAATGGAAGTGTCCGTCAGACCACTAGTCACAATCTGTGCTCCCCACTTCCGGATATCTAATGGTGGTAGAGATGAAGAGATAGAAGATAAAGCAGAAGCAGATTGTGATGGAGACGTGGATGACGAGGGAGCAGCAGCAAGCGGCCCCGGGAAAGTGGATAGAGACGCAGTCTTGTGAGTGCTTTTATCGTCTAAGCGAATGTCCACTTCTAGAGAGTCTGAAATCGACAAGTCTGCTTGTAGATGAGCTTCCTCGAAAACGCATAAGCGGCTGGCTACCAGCTCGTACAGTCTAGTTGAATGGGTAAGTTCCTCGGAGATTGTCTTTGAAAAAAAAATGAAAAAAGTTATTACCCACTTAACTTAATGTGTATACATTTAAGATATCCACAGTCTATAAGAGCTTCTTGCTCAAGCTTATTTCTTATACGTATACACGATATCTCATTTAAGGTGATGAAGGACTGGTGGTGCAGAGTATAATCCGAAGAGGTTAACCATTACGATACATGGCCAGAAATGCCCTTTGGTCATAGGGTAGATGTATATTTCAAGGAAGCCTAGGCTTTTATCATATCAAATTATGTAGTAGATTTGACGACAAAGCAATAGATTATATTAGTTATAGATACTAAGAATAACAGGGTTTTGATGAGCCTCTTAAAATAACATCGTAGGATAGCCTTTCACTTCGTATGAAAGTGCATGATAAAGAGATATTTAGTCATGCTACACTTCTTTAACTTAAGGTTGATGCATTACACGATCTATGCTCACTGGTTTCGTGCAAAAACGAGCTGAGCTTTCGTCCATCATATGATGTACATAATCTCCTCGCTATTCCATAACCAAGATTGACAAAAATGTGTATTTCTAATGATGTTGCTCACATATGTTATTATCTCAGTAAACGTTTTGATCTACCGAAGTCCACAAATAGGGAACTGGATCAAGTATAGTATGGTTTGATTAAAGCAAGGCTTAAGGAAGGCATTAACCGACCACACGAACTGATTAGGACCCAAACCAGGCTTAGACAATCCCTTTATTAGGTACCGAATGATGCGGATTTCCTTAGATTCAAGCATATGGTGGATGACATAAGAGGCCACGGATGGCGTGAATGAGCGGATACATGCTCATTCCGCTTGTTTGATAGCCAAAAAAAAACATTCGAATGAATATTTGGAACGGCTGAAGCATATATAGCTCGAAAATATAAATTCTTCGGGCTTAGTTGATAATAATATATCTTTAAAAGACAGATACTAGTTAGTCAAAGATATACAAACTAAAAGATTTTCCCGTCATAATTTTTCTATGATGTCTTCCTTCTAGGAGACTACTAATGGGAAAGTGAAGGATATAAACAGTGCTTAAAGAAACTGACACTGTTTTTAATTATATCATATTGTAGAAATAAATATGACCAATTATCGGGATCGTGCTGCGACAAGATGGTGTGCTCTCGTAGTCAAACCTATGTTGACGAGATGTCGGCCTATTCACCAAATAGTTTTAAACACAAAAAGGCTTGTAAAGGCAACTTGGTCCAACGTTCAGAAATGGTTGAACATATGACAGAGAGTAGAAATAGGATAGAATGGTCTCTAACGCGCACATTTGTTGAATATGGCATACCTGCTGTTATGAGGAATATAAGAGAGGCTATTAAAATCATTTGATTAGAGAATACGTGGAATGTGAGGAACGGTGGTATAAAGTTGAGTACGAACTACTTATGCTTGATCGATATACTAAAGAAGAGAGAATGTTGATCCGTTATCGAAAAGAAGGCGACTCAACTTGTCAACTAAATGATGGTTAGAACTTCATTCACACTCATCCAACATGTAGATTAGGCTCATCAACCAAACAAGACGTAGGAAATGACACAGTCACAGTAATGCCTTTCCTTGGGTCGTTAAATATTAAAAAGCCTAGACTGAGAGGTTAAAACGTGTGGTTTAGTAACCTGACGTGCACGCTTACAGGCTTACATCTCGACAAGAATTGTTTGCCGACTTACGCAATCTCAGTCAAAGGTTTTTCTTAGATCACTGAGCTTTGATGACCCGAGCCTGACATTTCGCATTTTTAATCACTTTAATTTAGGACTGATTTTGCGCATATGCGTTAATATACACACATACACACATTTAAGTAAAAGTACCATGATCAATATAAAAGGGAATAAGCCAAATCAATCAATGTATGTACATTGTGATTACATATAGGACGTAAGATAGAGCCGGACAGTCTTCTTGATCTAATGTTGACTTGAGACTTTTATAATGAGTTATAGCCCCAAGGATCTCCATCCTATGACATACAAAAGCCTATTTTCGCCCGAAACGAGGAGGCGTGCCACGTGGACTACGTCAGCCTGAACATCGTATTTAAAGCAAACCGCTGCAGTACAACGAGAATCAGCCGTCGTCTCATGGTTAGGTAGCTCTAGGAATCTTTTTATCATGCTCCTTCCTATGAAATAAGTCTCTTCAACAATAGATCCCTTATTTTCTGTTCATAGGCCGGTTTTATAGACTACCAGCAGATCACATTAAATGAAATAGGGTGATTACATCTAATATATACGATCAACTGGTAGTCTCCAAAGCCTACTTGTAAATGAAAAATTATTTATGAGCTTATGCCAAGAACTGAGGCAAATGAATACGATATGCTAGAAAATATTCATTGTAATCACGAGAAGTATCGTTTAATACCACGAGGGGCAAGAGTTAGTGTTCGTATTAAAGCCTCACTAACGCATTTTTCAAGAGTTAAACTAAGATCCTAAAGATATTTGCCACTAGAATTCATAAGCTTAGCGCTTGGTTGGCAAAATAATGCCATACTCGATTAGAATGAGTTGTTGGCAGTATAATAAAGTTCTTTTGTTACCACTTTGTCATGTTGTTTAAACTAACAGACTGATTCCACTTATAAAATTCTTCGAAACCTTTAATCAAAATTTTTTGTTTTAATCCTGATCTGCTAGTAAAGAAAATGTTTTTGGTAGAATTTTGTAAAGCATGATCAAATTCAGACAAACGTGAATTTTGTGGAGAAATAGAATTCGCTGCGGGCTGAATGAAACGCAGGCAGGAGCAATAAAACAAGCTTTTTTATACTAAGAATAAGAAATTAAAAACGGTTTTACAAATCCAGCTATAAAAAGTACTGGTATTTCTAATTAAATAGGGCCCATTATAAGAAAGCAAGTTTTAAGAAGATACTCTAAAGGCTACTAGAGCTCAAGTTTATCGTGAATTTCACTGGACCTTCTCTTTCAAATATGCTTGCCTACCCATAAAAGATCACAGCTTCCATCCCCATTAAACCAAAAATTCTATTAGTTAGAAGGTAGAGGTGACAGTTAAGCTGACCTACATAAGCTTGACATTATATTTGTATTATTTTCAGTTTTTCAGCCCTTGACCACGCGCCACATCTGAGGTCCTTACATCAGATCACTTACTTTGTTACACAGCATTAATGCCAATGCTACAAAACTTAACACCATGGCCCATTGAGATAAATGTGAGTAAAGCTTGAAATCCAAAACTTTAGTTATAAGAGTATGAAGCATCATTTAGTTTATTTGTGAATACTAACCAGAGATATTTTCAGCTTGCTGGAGAAAGCATGGGACGCTATATTATTTTAAATTAGGTTCTATTCTATTGAACATGACGCATCAAGCCCTTTCGTTCATTTACGAAGCGTAGCTCTGAAGTAAAATTTGCTTCCTAAGCCAATGAAGTAGGCTATGCTAGTACTGAAATGGCAACGAGTTTATAGAAAAAATCTAATATCAATTATGATCAAGGAGAACAAAAACATTAAAGAGATCATGAGCATACAACAAATAGTTTATAAAGACTCGCCAGCATAAAGATTATCAGAAGCAAGAAATGAATATATTGCGGGAGAAACTCAATTCCTTCTCATGCCCTTATATGAGTATTCCAAACCACCGTAGACCTGAGCCTTTAATATTTATACTAGGTATTAGGGATTAAATTTGTAATCGAGCCAGGAGTGCTCATGAGTGACAGTTAAAAACACATTATAGGGCAAAGTTAAAATCCTTTAACGGTCTGTGCCTGTGAGAATTTACTCGGGAAAGAAATTTAAGAGGATCCAATAATTTGAGTATACAAAAAATAAAAATATAGGCCGCATGGATAAATCCCAATTCGATGTATAAATATAAGTAATGCTTCTTAAATAAATAAATAAAGATGGGACAATAAATTTACAGGAAAAAAATACCTCGTTTATATGGGAACTCGCTTTTGAAGCCCGAGAAGCGCATGCTACTAGACAACCAGTGGCAGATATTGCGGAGCCAATAGAAATTCCCTTAGGTACTAGATCTGGACTGCAGACAACCTAATAAAAAAATTTGCCAGTTCAGAGAATTGAGAAAATATAGCGATCACGAATCGTCTAAACCTGAATATAATAAAATCTGTCATTAGACGGACTTAAAATATAAATATGACTGAATAAAACAATTAAAATCCGCGCATAGTGCATATGGATATGCTTACATAAAATCTGACCCCTTTTCTCAAAAAGCAAAACTTTAATTCAACCTCTAACAGTGAAATATAATAATTAAGTTCTCACATTAAGACCAGTACAGCATTAAACACGATTTATATAGACAATGCAAGATGAGATTAACAATATATTGCATAGACTAGTAATAGGCATACCTGGAGCTTCTTAGATGAAGATCCATCTGAAATATCCAGGAATACCTTCGACTTATGCTTTCTTATTCCACGAACCCAACCGAGAGTGACGAAATCGGCTTCTATGATATCCCTGACTTGCCTAATCTCTCTAGACTCAGGAAGACGTTTTCTAGAAGAGGCTACTCTGGATGGGTGAAAAAAATTATTTTTCCGAGCAAATGAACCACACGACGTAAACAGAATTGGCGTAGAATATCGGCTCATTAAAGAATTCATGCGAAGACACAAATAACAAGTATAACTTTTTCGGAGAAATGCCATTAAAGATGATTCTGTACATAAAAAAATAAACGCAAAAAAGCGTCATGGATAACTAATATGAGAAATATGTAGGAAGCTTGTTCATAAGATTAATTCTTTTTAAAAACAAAGCATGGTAAAATATTAACTAATTTATTGAAAAAAGCCAAATGAAAATACAATAGGTTTGGCTTGCGAAAGACATAATCGCAAAGGCGAAATATAGATAAGAATTTAAGTCGAAATGGGGACAGCTCAAGTATGTAAAAGTAAAAAGTTACTGATAATGTAAAAGTGAATCATGTACTTGATAGCAAATAAAACACAAAATATGCACCTAACGAAGATGGAACTTG